GCGACGGTCCCCGCGAACCGGTTGTTCGGCGAACCCGGAAGTAAGTAACTTCCGGGAACGCCAAAGGGTCCACCTGCCCGCCCGCGTTTCTTACCCGGTTTTGATGAGTTCTGCGCTTCCACGCATGCGCAGGACACGTACAGCGCCTGCGCGATCCTCTAGGAGCAGCTGGAGCATCGCACAGATGCTAGTACGCATCCGTGCACTGCGCACGTGCACGAGGACGCCGCCAGCCCCGTTCCAACCGAACCGGTTGGAACGGGGCGAGAAACCCACCACTGATGTACAGACACATAAACACACACTCTTGAACACAGCCAAGGGTATGTAAAAGGGGTGGGTGGGTGGGAATCACCCAGTCATCATTTTTGTAGATTCGGAGTTCTGGGGTTTTTTGTTGCTATTGTTTTATTCGATGTTTTTTTATTACTGTTTTTCTTTCCTTGAGCTACCCTAGTTTCTGGATAAGCAAGTCCAATGTTTTTTTTTTTCATTTTCTAGTCACTTGAGGTGAAGGGTTTTAATCTGCTGAAATCCTTTTGCCTCAAATAACTGGAGAAATTATGAAACAATAACCAGTGGACATTTAAAAAAAATACTCTGGTGAGGTGGTAAATTGTGGGGGAGGGGAAGCAGTAATTAAAGCTTAGTATAAAACTAATAGATTTCTGTTCACAAGGGAAATATTACAACTGCTGCATTGTTGTAGTATTATAAGGAAAGATAACCCTAGATAGAAGACATCAGAGAACAAGAAAGGAGTTTTAACTTAAAGCTGGTCATTGCTTGTACATCTACAGGTACGGTTTGACTATTGTTAACCATCCAGGGTTTTATTGTGTAATATTGACATCAATATTGAATAATATAGATAGGCTAAGTAAACGTCAAGTATTTCTAGTTTATTGATGAAAGTCATAAAGTAAACAGAACCCCACATTTGCATCTAATAAATAACATAATGCATACTTATCTCTTGAAATGGATTTTTCCAATGGATTTCAAATCTATTTAAATCAAATTTCTAACATATTTACCAGTTTAGTCTTTCTCAGGTATCAGTTATATCATGTGTATTAAAAATGTTTTTCATGCCAGCCTTTGACTTTTTCATCCGATTTTCAATTCTTGGATGTAACCCAGTGGTGGGTTTCCATTTTTTAAAATACTGGTTTGCTCGTGCGCATGTGCCGCTTCTGCACAGAAGTGTCTGGGTGGGTGGGCAGAGCCTCCCACCGCCACTATCCGTTTGCCCAATCCGGCAGAAACCCACATCTGTTGTAACCATCAGGACATGTATCAGCATTTACTCATATTTTTTTTCCCTTTCCATTCTTTTCTCTTTTTGTCTCTTTTTGATTGTGGAACAGATGCTTATTCTAAAATAACGATGATTCACTGTCACTCTATCTGTAAGCTATTTTCTCAGATTGTTTAAGAGTATGCAATTCACATACAGACAGCAATCCCATAGTGGATGTTTATAGACTCGCCTGCCCAGCACCTTTTCTCCTCCTTTAAGGCATTTGGAAGAGTGTTTTAGTCTTACAGAAATTCTGAAGAAACTGCAAATTGCCCAGGGCTAATCACTAAGCTTCAGAGCTGAGAAAAGATAATAGTTCTAGACATCAGATGTCTAGCATATATCAGACTGTGTTGTGAAAAGGAATGACAATTTAAAGACAGCTGAAAATAGGTTTCTCCAGTTATTTTGCCCCAACCCCTCTGCAAAAAGAGATGCAATCGTTTTCTTTGCAGATTGCAAATTAAATCAGACTAATCTGATTTAAATTATTGTTTCAACAGCAATTTGGAATTCCAAGTTAATTGTAATAATTGTGATAAAAGGCTGTTAATTGAAATATCTGAAAAGAAAACACAAAATAAAATTATATATACTGTATTTTTCGGAGTATAAGACACACCGGAGTATAAGACGCACCAAGATTTTGAAGAGGCAAATTTTTTAAAAAGTTTTTACACTCTGCAGACCTCCCAAAACCGCCCCGTTTTTCACGGAAATGGGTCCGGGTTTTGACAAAAAAGAGTATTAATAGCCTTTAGGAGGCTTGTAGAGTGCTCCTGGTGGCTGGGGGGATAAAATGAGCTAAAACTGGCCCGCTTTTCATTAAAACTGGTGCGCTTTTCACAAAAATGGGCCTGTTTTTTGTCAAAAAAAGAGGCATGCATAGCCTTTAGGAGGCTTGCTCCTCGGGACGGGGACGGGCAAAAATGAGCAAAAAAGAATCAATTTTTCGCTCATTTTTGCCGTCCCCAGCCCCTTAGGAGCACTCTATAAGCCTCCTAAAGACTATTAATGCCCTTTTTTACCTGGTTTTTAAAAATACATTATTTTGTGAGATCTGAGCTTCCTATAGGCTTCTACAAGCAGGAGTCCTCTGAAATTATCACATTCATCCTAAAGAAGTAGTTATGCTATGGTTTATCATTGGATGTAGCCTCTTCCAGTGATCTTTATTGATGGAATCACAGCATATAATCATGCGAACCAAATATGGTAAAGGATGGTAGTCATTCAGAGATGCATACTTTTTCAATCTGCATTTTCAGGTTTTATAAAATCCCTGGAGAAAACCTTTGCCAGGAAAATAATACTGAAACAGAACAATGGGCTGACATGGCATAAGGCAGCTTTCCTATGTTCCATCAGTTTAAGTGACTTGAATGTTAGCCAAACTTGATTAAATTGCACTTTAATTAATATTATGACTTTCATCTAGACTAAGAATCAGAATGATGTGGTTTCTTTGGATTCAGTTTTTGTGTGGTGCATAAACTTAGTTTATGATTCTGTTGCTGCCTTTGTCCACTAATTTTACCACACAAAGTACGAGAGTGATGTCTAATCTTGTCCTGGTCCATTTACAAGCAATTAGCAATATTTTCTTCACCTTTCAACTATGAGAACATTCCCCATCGCCTAAATATACAATATACAATCTTATAACTTAAGATGCCATCATTTCAGTCTAAAGCATGGACAGAGCTGTTAAACACTTTGTCAAAGATTTCCTGTTACCAGTTAGATAACAAAAATGTTTTCTTTTCCATGAATTTCTCTGGTTTGAAGAACCAATCTAATTATGAATGCAAAGATTCTACATAGGAATAGACAAGAGCAGAAGGCACGACTATGACTTAATGGATATTAGATGCTAATAACTGGAAGCATTCTTTGGTCTTAGAGAAATAAAGAACGTTAACTTCATAGAAAGTTGATCTAATCTCTAAATCAATTTTTCCCATTACCCTTTTCTCCATTACCATGTCACAGTTTTTTGATACTGCAAGAATAATTATTAATCAATCTAACTGAAGCATTTCTGTGCCATGATCAAGGAGATTAGACACTCTTGTAAATAGACTGAAATAGGATTTCAGTAAAGCTGCTTATCTTTTCCATAGTAACAATGCTTATTACCTGCCTCAGTAATTAGGATTAACAAAATTTGCCATCTCCTCTACTGGCATCTTTCTAGTTTTCTGAGAGGCTTCAGAGATGTAACAAGTGATAAGTTGCCTTGAGCAATGAGGGAATAAAACCAATGGTAACTATGGCGAACTATAGGGGGAAATCTAATAATATAATTATTTGGTGACATTGAAGGTGATAAAATGTCTCGGGATCTCTACCCATATTCCATCTGCAGATGTCAAAGGCAATGTGCATTGGGTAAGGATGGCTGGGATAGAAAACCTGCAAATGGAGCGTCACAGCCATTTTGAAGCTGATGTGCTGATTACCAATAGGTTTTGAGACTCAATTCAAAGTGCTGGTTATTATAGTACTTAGAAGTCCATACACAGTGTGGTGACAGAATACCTCAAGGACTTTCAGTCCAAATATTAAAAGGAGATTTGCATCAAGTTCCATCACAGGAGTCAAAAGAGCATCAGTGATAGAACTGGTCTTTGCTGCTATAGTCCTCACATTGAGGAACAAATGTCCCAGAGTGTACTAGCCACTATCCCTCCTCATTTTGGAAGGTGCTGAAATCTTCACCTCCTTTTTAACCTTAAATTGTGCCCAGTGATGAACTAGCAATCACCATTTAGCATATTTTGTCTGCGATGTCCAGATACTTTTCAAAGTTAGCCCCTCATACAATATATGCCACTGTTAAGTAGGCCAGAATTCCCAATGAATTTGGCCAGGATTCCACAATATACAGCTTGGGGAAAACTAGGGAAGAAAATATCTGAATACTGATATTAATACTGAATTTTTAAAGATTATATCCTATATTAAAAATATAATTCTATCAGCAATCTGCAGTATAACAGTTCCCGTGTTACATTATTCTATAGCCGTGATGGCGAACCTAAGGATCGCATGCCAGAAGTGGCATGCAGACCCATCTCTTTGGGCATACCAGCCATCACCTGTTGATCTTCCGTGTTCCGTGCACCGGGGAACTGCTCTTTGGTTCCTGGTGCTCCTCCCCAGCAGTCGCCAACACTATAGTTTCCTGTAATCCTATTTCTTCCTTTTCTTTCATTTTATATAAAGAAATTGATGGTTACTCTTCAGTTCTTGTTTCAGGTAGTAATACCTGCATCCAGAAGTCAATCAGATTTTAACTTCTGTTGCAACAAAAGGCTCATTGCAAATTCTGTAACCTTGGCTTTTAATACTAAGAGATGGTTGTAACAATTGGAGCTGAGTAACCAAAAGACTTTGTAGACCCATGGCCCACGGAAGCCCATTTAAAAGCCCTTTTAAATATTTTTATATACAGTAGGGTTTTCTGTCATTTTGAGATAGGAAACATAAAAATAGTAGTACAAGCACTATAACTGCAAATTCAGAGGTTTCAGTTCATCCTATTGAAACTTCTCTACAATTTTGATGATTGTCATCATCATCATCATCATCATCATCACCATCATCAAATACAGATTTCATCTTCCCACTTAAAAAAAAATTAAGGCACTGAAAACTTACTCAAGTTTTTTTTAAGTCTTCCTGTATTTTGAGTACAGGGACACGAATCAGTGAAACTGGGCTTTATTTGCATACATAAATACATTTGCCAACAAAAAAGACACAGGAAACAAATTCAATTTATACAAGTGTAATATGAACATATTTTTAAAAAGATGTTTAAAATGATATTTACAAATTATATAAATAAATCCTTATTCAAAAAAAGCTAACTGTTTACCTTCCTGGGTGTACCAAAATGTTTATTGATCAGCAACATCCCAGGTTGCAGTATAAAAACATTTGCTTGCATATATTAAAAAAGAGGCGATATAAAGAAATAAGAAAAGTAAGTGTAAAACTGTAAAAAAAACAAAAAATGGAAAAATATTTATATATAAATATATAGAAATGCCTGATATTTCAGCTTTCAAGATGCCTTCTGCAATAGCTTTAAAAACAGTCTTGTGAAAAAAAACCCTGTCAAGAAAAGTCAGTGTTAACAAAAGAAATAGCCCCCTTACATTTGATCATATATGGCAGAGAAGAGACCATTTAAAAAAGATCCAAGAGAAAACAGAGAATAGTAGCACATCAGTGGCCAGCCACAAGCCCTTGTACAACATTTTACTTAGAGGCAGAACATCTGTAACAGACTATACACATCCTTCACTGAAACAGCAATTGAAAGGAATAAAGTAAATAGTCAAGGGGAACAGGAAACCATTGTCTTCCTAATTATCTTAGATAAAATGAATGCTTCCCCCCCCTTCGCCCTTTACCATTAATAGCAATATGAACACTCATAGCAACTACATCAATTTATACACACTAACGACATAGCTGTTGGACAATTGGTACCAAATGTGATGAATAAGAAAAAGATGGGGGGGGGGGGAGAAATGACTGCGGTTTCTGTATAGACATACCAAAATATAAAGCCATGTGTGTTTTCAAAGTGCCATGAATATTCAGAGTTCAGGTGGATTTTCTCCCCCCATCCCCTATTATGATTAAGATCACATGAAATGACATTAGGGATTGCTGGTTTCCTCACACTGATCATGAACGTCCCCTTTAGCTGCTTTGGTGAGAATATCCATCCATTTCATTTGCAAGTCTTCATCTTCAGCACTGAAATATATTGTCTGCTGGGACTGGCAAAGTTTGAAGACGTATTTTGATTCAAACTTTTCACCAGAAGGTGGAAAGTCAACTTCGTATCCCAGCAAGGGTATGCTGCGTGGAATGCGTCCATCCTACATGTAATCCAGAAATAAAGAAAGGTGTGAAAACTAGAAAAAGATTGAGCACAAGCATGCAACAGATGAACAGGGCCAATAATTTGGAAAGGAAGCCATTTGTGAATTGGTTTTTCACACTTGAGGAAATAAAAGCATTTTGCAAAAATAGTTCCACAAGTTGGTTTCCATTAAAACTGGTACACACAAGAGGTGGTTGATGCTATTCCCATATGGTACCGAAGACTGTGGTGAGTTGGCCTTCTACCCATAGGTTTCTGGTTTGCTGGGAAAGGAAAGCATTTTTCTGCATATTTTGTGAATCAACCAGTGGTGGGTTGCTGCTGGTATGGCCCGGTACGTACCACCGGTAGTGGCTGGGAGCAGCTGAGAGCGTATCAGTATAGTGGCTCATTTGGCCCATTTGTCTGCCCATGCTCAATACCTGTTTTTATGCCAAAAGGCACACTGCGCATGTGTGCACAGTGTGCAATGTATGCACGCCCCCGACAAGCAGCTGGGTGTTGCAGGGATGGTGGGTTTCACATGTGCGTGCTGGGCACATCACGTGTGTGCACAGCACACATCAGGGTCGTGCACAGACAGACTGCGATCAGCGTACCAGTAATGATGGTAGGAGCAACCCACCACTGGAATCAACATATTTCTCTTTATCGTTCTAGTGTAGATACCAGAGAGTAATCTAAGGATAGCTTTTACTGCTATATAAATCCCATGTATTTCTAGTAAATGTGATTTTGTTTTTAAGTATGCTTGAGCTGAGGAAATCTACTTCTTTCATGCATAATCAAAACACATTCTCAGCAATTCCACAATTGCATGGAACCAATACTGAACTTTACAAATCCAGTCAAGAATTAAAGTCACGCTGGCTTAAAAATGCCATGTCATTTTTCCCCCTCTTAATCTTAGAGAGGATAAATGTTTTTCAAGATTAAATAAAAAACCTCTGAAGTATTTATTTGAGAATAACATACTTTTCTTGAAACTAAGGCAAACAAATAATTATTGTGTCCCTTTGTTGAGAAAATAAGAAGGTATGAAAGAAGAAAAAAGACTCCAGGAACTGTTACTAAATTCAGTAAAGTGCTTTTGTGGTTGAAAGCGACTAAGCTAAATGTTTCCACCTAAGATTCCCTAACCTTTGGCACTTTCTGTCTGAGTTAAAGCTGGAGACAGTAGACTCCTGAAAATTGTAGGACAGATCTACTATACAGTCCTTCTGGATTGGACGGCCTATAAATCTATTAAATACAATACAATACAATACAATACAATACAATACAATACAATACAATACAATACAATACAATACAATACAATACAGTTCTATTCTCAGGATAATCTGGCCTACTCCATGTTTCTGGGTGTGTCTCTGCTCAAGGTATCTCTAACCTCCCTGAAAGGAAGGGAAAAAAAGCCACAGAGGCAAAATGTACAAGGACAATTTGCCACCTTCTCCGAGGGTAGATCATCCACATCATTGGATCCACAAGACACTGATCATATTGGACATAGCATTAGCAGACTTATATACCACTTCATAGTGCTTTTACAGCCCTCTCTAAGCAGTTTACAGAGTCAGCATACTGCCCCCAACAATCTGGGTCCTCATTTTACCCACCTTGGAAGGATGGAAGGCTGAGTCAACATTGAGCCTGGTGAGATTTGAACTGCCAAATTGCAGATAGCCAGCAGTCAGCAGAAGTAGCCTGCAGTAGTGCACTCTAACCACTGCACCACCATAGTTCAATATAAATACAGAAAGCCGTAATAAAGAAGGATGATTGGAAAAGGGGAAATTCTATATAGTAGGTCATGCAGAGATAAACGGTAGGCTTCCAAAGTGTAAATATATTGGGTGCATACCTTGGCATGCCAGCAGTTTCCAAGCAGTAGACAAGTACATTCCAGCTGAGAGCTTGAGAATTACCAGTTTAACTTTATTTAAATAAACTTATAGTTGTAATATTCTGACATATTTACCTGGTTTTCTCCTTGGAGATATAAGACAAGAGGCTCTGTCTTAGGAATGGTGACCCACACTTTACACCAACCCTTTCCTTTCTCATGAAACAGGAGGTGACTACTGAAGAGACTGTTTTCTGAGCCCAATATGCTTTGTTTCTGGTAAAAATAATAAAAATAGACTTATATTCTCAGGCATTTATCATTCATTATATGTGCTAATACATCTTGGTTTAATTATTGGTTCACACATAGCAAGTGTGCATGGAAGAATGATTTAACAATAAACCAAACTTTAAATATACAGAAGTTTAGATAACTTTTCATATAATCTGAATTTGATTATTGGTGCAAACTTCACTTGCACAATAGAAACGGAGAACAATTATTAGCACGAGAGAAGCATTTTCAGGCTTCAAATAGCTTGGGGAAGATTGAAAATTAATGTGAATGGAGTGTAGCACTGCTGGAGGAATAAATGAAAATTCCCAATTATCATGGGAAAGGGGTTTATGTTTCCACACTGGCTTACAATGCTGGGAATGGTTGGAAGAACAGAGAGAGAAAAAAGAGGATGACCAACAGCAAGGTGGATGGACTCAGTTACAGAGGTGATGAGTGGCACCACTGAGAAACCTGAAAGACCAGGTTAGAGATAGATTGTTATGGAGAAAATCTATTTAGCTGATTGCTAGGAGCTGAATATAACTTGATAGCATGTAATCAGTCAGTCAGTCAATCAATCAATCAATCAATCCAGCCATATATGGATATTAGCAAAATAGTGGATACAGTGGTAAAATATCCATCTTGGGAGAACATTCTATTACTGATAACAAGATCTTAACACTTGAGTATTACAATTTCACTCAAAACAACTGAACTAAAATTAATCAGGACATTTAACATCTTTTTTTTAAAGATTAAATAGAGACCAAGATTTTTATGTGCTAGTATTAAAATAATCCTTATGCTAAGTTCAGTATGAAACAGCTCTCCCTTAGACCCCCCGTGTTGCTATAAAACATTGGGTTTTGTTTAGTGATATACAAATTTTCATTTCAATATAAACATCAATTAAGAACCATGGGTATAAGAAGAGAAAGGAATCATGAAATTGTCTAAAATAACACACACACACACACCAATAGCAGCAACAACAAAACTTTACCACCAAGCTTGTTTGAATAAATCAAATATAGAGCATTGTTTTTTTCCTCCTTGATTCTGTGATTATCCATTTTTTCTTCCTACTTTTCCTTCTATTGTTCACATGCCAACAATTCTGGTTTTCCTCTTATACCTATGGACTGGGCATTTTTGCTATAATCACTAAATATGAAGAATTGAATATTTTATAGAAATAAGCTTCTTTTCCCATTAACTTCCCATAAACCTCTCCATCCAAGTTCCTTAAGTTATAACATAAACAGCAAATCTGCTATAAAATTTCCTAACAACAGAATATCAATTATTGAAGAGGAAACCTAGTCAATGAACTTTCTAAATATCTAAGGTATAAACAAAAGTTTTTAACTCTGTTAAAAACTTAGAATTCCTTAAAAGCAAGGCTAAGGCCAACAATTTTACTTCCAACATCACTGACCAATGCTTTTTATTTCAAGAACAATAGTAAGAAGGATCTGATCACATATGCCAATATGATATATCTAAACTTAATAAGAAATAAGACACAATAAGAATTGCTTAATAAGGGAAGAAATCTACCATGGTTAATGGAAAACTAAAAAGCAATCTCAAGAGGAAAGAGGGATCCTAAGAAAAATGACAGAATTTTAAAGAATTTTAAAAACACTGAATCAAGATGATTTATTAAGATATAATTACAAATTGTTACTCAAATATAATTAAAATTGTATGATACGGAGTATGCAAAATGTGAAAGGAGAAATAACAATAGGACAATGGAAAGAACTACAAAAAACATTAACACAATTTGCACCAAGCCACTATTTGAAGGAAAATTAGTACAAAATGTTCTATAGATGGTTGTAAAACCCCATCAATTAATTTCAAGGACACAATGATAAACCTTGGAAATATCTTAGGAGGAATATTTTACTATTACTGATTGTTTTTGCCAAAAGACTCAAAAGTACTGGAAATACGTATACTGAAACTTCTAAAAAAATTCTGAAAATAAAATTCAAATGAAAACTATGAATATTTATTAGTTATGACCTCACAGAATATAAATGAAAAACATCTCAAATTGTTAAAATATGTGCTGACAGCAGCAAGAATCAATTTAGCACAACATTGGAAAACAGAAATGTTGCCATCAGTACAGGACTAGAAGACTAAAAATGGAAAAAATGCAGCAAAGGGAAAAAATGCTTTATATATTCTTAGCAAAAATCTAAGAGAGTTCAAGCAGGAATGGTTCCCTTATACCGTACATATGACAAAGCAAGGCAAGCTAAGACACTCAGAATATGTTTTTTGAAGAAAAAGTGAAACTGCTTTTAAAATCATCAAATGATCCAAAGGGAAATGAGTAATAATAAAATAAACTTTAAAAATATTCAAATAGCAGTTAGAAGGGGGGGAGGTGGAGGAGAAGGGAAGAGAGGTGCTACTAGAATGCTTTTTCCTATTCTTTTCTTTTTTTCTTTTTGTTATGTCTTTTAAAAACTTTTTATAATTTCATTTTTCATTCAACCTTTTCTCTAGTACAGGGGTCAAACCCAAGGCCCAGGGATCATATCTGGTGCTTGGGGGTACTTAGATCTGGCCCACAGTGCCTCTGCCAGCAAAAACGGAGCGTGGGAGCCCCTTTTCCCTGGCAGAGCATTTGGGCCACCAAAGTTGCCCCGACATGAGTGATGGCCACACCCACCCTGGCCACATCTACCATGCCCCCCGAGGTCAAATACATCCCCGATGCAGCCCTCAATGAAATCGAGTTTGACACTCCTGCTCTAGTATAACGTTTATGTTATGCTTCATTATTTTATAACGTCTTCATTTTGCTTGGGTTTTTTCCCCCCAATTAATAAAAAATAAAAATTAATAAAAATAAAATAATAAAACTAGGAAAAGCAACAAAAACTGCTTTTGTCAAGGCAATTAGCTAGTTTATAGTCAATTAAACATGATAAACATACCTCCATGGTTATTTTTTTCCTTTGTTCTCCTGCACCTTCAGTCCCTGAGATGCACAGGTTTGCTGATGGAAATTGAAAGCAATCTTTGCATACCCTGTTTTGGCGACTATTATCAGCAAGCGTTTTAAATTCAGAACATTTGGCACAGATAACCTGGATTAAACAACATCAACAACAGCATTAGGAAAAAGTATCCTGATAATAGCATTGGTTTCTGTTCCTAAAAACAATTAAACTGAATTGTAGCACTAAGATTTTCAGTACCAATATCCAAGATATAGTTACCTCCTGCTTGCTTCATCTACTTGAAGAACATTAAGGAATAATAACACTCTCTGTTATTTTCTCTACAAAAGCAAACATATATAGATTTTCCTTTTTATTCGATGTTTTACAGAACTATTTGGCTATTTTTGATATTTCTAAAAGGTTTTCTGAAAGCTTATTGGAATGAAAAATTTAAATAGACCATTCATGAAAGGGTATTGATTCGTGGTTTGTATATCTGACATTCACGTTGCAAATTCTTCATTTCCATATATCAAACTGTTATGGTCTCCATTGTTGAGGAACCTATTTGGAATGAATGCCAGCTTCAGGACTTGGGGAACAGTCACGAATCTGAGGCTACCTTCACCAGCAACCATCAGGAACAGTGTGGGACAATTCACATGCTGGAATTCTCTACTTTGAATAGCCATTCAGCTTGAGAACTAGCACAAACCTCAGAGGGCTGAGTGCAGGTGTGAAATTCAGCAGGTTCTGAAAGGTTCTGGAGAACCAATAGCTGAAATTTTGAGTAGTTTGGAGAACTGGCAAATATTCAGCCAGGGGTGAAAGGAGATTTTGCAATATCCTTTCCCTGCCATGCCCACCAAGCCACACCCACAGAACCGGTAGTAAATAAAAAATGAATTTCACCATTGGTGATCATATCCTTATAAAACAAAGGCAACAATGGTCTTAATTAGGCCATGTCTGGCAACTAGACTTATCAGTTCTTGGCTGCTTGTTGGAAACAACTGCTCCAACCTTGGATCCATGCTCTTGAGTCTCTGGATCCCATGTGCCCCTTGAAGCTCAGCAATTTCACCTTGGATCCTTGAGGTGACACCTGAACCTTTACTGTTTCTTGACTATCCTTCCACCTCCTGATTCTACTTTGATCTCTCTCAGAATTTTCCTTTTTGTAAGCAGTGCTAATACACACATGCACATAAATGCCCCAATGGTCTGTAAACTATTGCCTTGTAAGTCCTTGAACATCAAGGTAAGCCACTTCATCAACTCTGCCTGAATGCTCAGCCTGGGACAGGATAGACAGAGAAAATAATCAGGAGCCCCAATTTAATTCTTTCCAAATTGAACTTGCCCTATTAAATGTATCATTATCATTTACTGAACATTTTCAGGATCAATATAGCAGTTACCAATAACAAGTTCTTTTATCTGAGGAAACAAACAAATAAAAAGAGGGAACAATGTGATAAACTTCACACAAAAAGTATTTACATCCGCTAACAGATGGCTAATTAGCAAGTTCTTTTTCATAATTTTTATAAATATCAAATAGAACAAAAACTAGAGTATGGAACAGGAAACACCTCAGATTGATATTTTTGTAGTGAGTTTTTAGTTCTATTGTTGCAACTTATGGAATCATGCCTTCCGAAGTTACAGGATATTGTGACTGAAACTTCAATAAAATGTTTAATAGCCTCCTATGCAAAACAAAACTAACCAAAAACCCTCAATTTGAAAATAATAGTCTTTCCTATCTAGGTTATAACCTTGAAATTGGATCCAAAATACAATACTTGCTAAAATTGCAGATTAAAATCAGTATATAAACTTTGTATGTGTTTGAAGTTAGGATATATATGTATACAACATTCAAGCAAAGAGTGCATTATTTGTGGGAAAATATTTCAATAATTTAAAAATGTATAATGCATTAAATGTTAGACTTTGATGGCATCTTTACGTTTCCTATTTAATCCTATTTCATATTTAAGGGGGGGAGGGAAACCTTTCTAAACATTTTTTTCTTAGTAATATCTTGCAAGGAATTCATCTTTTGAAACAAATGGCAGGAAAAGACTGAAATGGCCAAATATAATTTCAGCACAAAAGTTGCATCAGTAGTTTACATGTTAAAATATTTTTTTCTTTATATAGTATACAGACCATCTATATATGTATCAAAGAGATAAGATGTCAGCTTTAGCAGTCACTGTGAACTTTCTGTCAGAAATGCTTGGTACAGGCTAATGAAGTAGTTCACTGGATATAATTAAAGGGCTACACAGCATTCTAGCTCTCCAATACAGAAGACAAACAAAGATGTTCTTAAATCATTTACATCTAAAAAGAGATCACATGAATCAGCTTGCTTTTGAGCCCTCTCCTCCAAAGTTCATAAATCTAATGAAATAAACCACACTCCTATTCTTTCTCATTCCTGTTTTAATCTGCCTGTAAACCAGGGGTGAAATTCAGCAGATTCTGACAGGTACTGGGGAACCGGTAGCGGAAATTTTGAGTAGTTCAGAGAACTGGCAAATACCACCTCTGGCTGGCCCCAAGAGTGGGGTGGGAATGGAGATTTTGCAATATCCTTCCTCCAGAGATGGGGAGGGAATGGGGATTTTCCCCAGCCACGCCCACAGAACTCATAGTAAGAAACTTTGAATTTCACCAACACCATGCATGATACTGTTGAAAGGTATCTATTCTGGGAAGCAATGAAATTCTAGATTCCAGTATTTGGCCTGCACAGTTAAAACAGCTGGACTACAAGTGATGGAACTACTGTGCCCAAAAGCCTACAGCAGAGCACATATCAGTCATCTTTCTCATATTGCTGAACTTTCAGCAATCCCAGTGAAACATGGCTAAATTGGGTGTTACAGTTTAGGAACATCTGGAGGTTGGCAATTCTGAATCTTTCATCTAGAACAGCAACATGATGCTGTATCATTGAATGCAACTCTAACAAAATTGAAAAATAAAATATAAAACATTGAAAAAGTCAATGTTCTCATGTATTAATTAGCTGGGTTTATATTCTGCCTTTTATCTGATAGGTCAAACCATGTATAACTTGAAATGGTAAAACATAGTGGTTGAATCTATGTTTTAAAAAATGTTAATTGTTTTACATTTAAAACATGCAAGTGTAAATTGTGTAAATAAACTAAAAGGAATGAATGAAAGTGCCACTAATTTATTTTAATTTTAATTTGCCACTAGAAACATGATTTAAAATATGTAAATTCCAAAAGAATTATGTAGTAAGGAAATATAAGTGCCGGCACAATTTCTTTTGGTGGGTGAGAGCACATGCATATTTACTGAGCCCCACATTGATTTATTTATATAGCTATGCCATAGAAAAAAATATTGAAAGTTCATATATTTGTAATAAATAATAGTAATATGGTATTTTCTTAGCAGGATCTTGAAGACAAAATATAACCTGTTTCAAAAGCATGTCAGGACATATATTGCTTTATTGTTAAACTGCATATGCTATGCATGATAAAAATTAAGAGAAATAATGTGGTTTTAATTCTAATACTCACTGCCCCACACTGTTTGCAGTGGTGTCGTCTTTTTGTAATGGAGTTAAAGCTTTCACTGCAACTTTTGCAAGCTTGCTTTTCTTTATCTCTTTTTGATTTTGAAGATTTTCTGCAGCACTCGGGCTGGAATGAAAAAGGAAATTTACAAATTTACAAATCAATAAAATGCAGCTCAACTCCCATTGCATTATCTAATATCAATAAGGTACATATTGAAACTATGCAAAGAGTAATACTGCATTAAAATTACCCAGATCCAAAGTTTGTTAGTCTGATCACTTTTAAAATAAAACATTAAATAACTTCCGAAAAAGGCTAAAGTTTCTAAAGCACACCTAGTAACAATTACAGAGTTTGGTAGTCTATCACAATATATGATCCACTTCATCTTTGAGAATCTAGATCTCATACCATAGAAAAAAATGATGCAGAAAAATTGAGGAAACTCCTGGAAGTCTTTAGCACCTTGAGTTGATCGGTCCTTTCTTTATACAAGGATACTCAAATTACTGCAGGGTTGCCTAGATAGCACCAGACATTAAAGAGAAGCACAAAGGTAATCTTCTGAATCTTTAGTATTTCTTAAGATCCATCACTATAAATATTTTTCCTGAATTAAAGCTTGTTGTAAATGTATGTATGTATGTATGTATGTATGTATGTATGTATGTATGTATGTATGTATGTGTGTGTGTGTGTATATATATATTTAGTGTCAC